CACCTATTTTGGTCATGTTGTAAGAAGGGACCATTCCGTGGAGAAGGATGTCATGCTTGGTAGGGTGGAGGGTCGACGAAAGAGGGGGAGGCCTTCAAGGAGATGGATTGATACGGTGGCTGCGATGATGGGCTCAAGTATAGCAGGGATTGTGGGGCTGGCACGGGATCGGGCAGTGTTTTGTTCTGCCATGCATGGGGTCACTATGAGTCGGAAACGACTCGACGGCACTTAACAACAACAACAACAACAATCATGGTGAGGCTTAACCAGTCTCTTCACTATTAGTAAATTCATTGTTCCTGCTTTCAGAAAAAGTTGTATACATATTTCAAAACCTCACTGTGAAAATAAGAGCATTACTCCTTGTAGAGTGTGGATTACTTCGTTCCTAAATCACTCAAAGATGAAATATATTTCAACTAATTGCAAATGGGCTTCTGACTTCTTTAGATTTCAACTTGTATCGTGTTGCGGCTCATGAATTGGGCCATTCTCTTGGACTCTCCCATTCTACTGATATTGGGGCTTTAATGTTCCCCAACTACATCTTCAGTGGTGATGTTGAACTATCTCAGGATGACATCAATGGCATCCAAAGCATCTATGGTGAGTATAAAGAAAAATATCATGGATAAGAAGCTATTGGCCTTTATACATAATTCAAACATATTTTAAGAAACTGTCTTTCATTGCTTATTTAGTTTTCAGTGACAGCCTAAACTAACTCCAGTTATTTTGGTTTCTTTAGGATCTTCCTTAAATTCGGTAGGCCCAGAGACCCCACAACCATGTGATAATAAGCTTACCTTTGATGCTGCAACAACATTTCGAGGAGAACCGATGTTCTTTAAAGATAAGTAAGACATCAGTTATTCTTGGTGTTCTGAATTTGTAATAATAGCAATATGCACTAGTATGAACTCTTTGGGTTACTACTTCACATGTTATTTACCTTATATTTATTTACATTTATAATTCCTTAAGTATATTACTTACATTTGTAAAATAAAATTTACTCATAGCAACTTTCTTTCCCATATGTAATTTGTCATTTGATTCTCAGAAAAATACCACAGAAGTGGGAAATCAGTTAATATAACCCCATTTTGCATATCAATAAAGTAAGTCAGAGAGAAGAAAAGATATTCTTTCAGAACACAATGATCACGGTGACAGAGCAGCAATTGATTTTCTGATCTGTACACCAGGGCTCTTTCACTATACTTCTGTTTGATGATACATATTTTTGTACTTTATTCAGAGATATCAGTTCTTTTTATAACATCATCAAGCTGATGAAGGTGATGCAGCCTAGAGACTAGCAAGGCAAGGCAACCCTTTATGTTTTACATTTTTCTTCCTGAAAAAGATGACCTTCCCAAAGCCTGTGGTCCTAACATGTCTTGTTGTCCCCCTGGAGGCCCAAGACTTCATGAGGACCCTTTGGGCAGATATAGACAGTCACTACATGGTACTTTCTTCCTCCTTGGAGAAAGATCTTAGCCCCCCCCCCCAGGGTTTGGATACAAAAAGCTGAGGTCCTCTCACACACAGGAACTGACCTATTCTCCATACATAACCAAAAAACAAAACCCATTGCCTTTAAGTCAATTCCAGTTGAGTAGAAATACCCTATAGGGTTTCCAAGGCTATAAATCTTAACAGAAGCAGACTGCTTCATTTTTCTCCTGTGAAGTGTCTGGTGGGTTTGAACCATCTGCCTTTTAATTAGCATCCAAATGCTTTAACCACTGTACCACCCAAGCTCCTCTCCCTACCATACTGTTAACTAAAGGACAAAGTAAAATAATGATACACTTTTTCTGAATGATGCTGTCCACAAAAAGATAATTGCTGCTGAAAATCACCCTCGCATAGAAAGTTGGGGCAGTCTGAAAGGCTGCTTCCCCTCAGCATAGAGAGGCCTCCCTTCTTGGAGAATTGTGCTGATCCATGTCTTTGGGGTCATATCTATCCCTGAATACAGGGAAATGACTGCTAATGCTCTCCATCCATCCTCTTCGTTACTACTTTGTAGTGAATAAGATAAAGGAAAGAGCTCTCGTGGTGTAGTGGTTAAGGCATTTGGCTGCTAACCCAGAGGTCAGTGATCCAAACTCATCAGCCACTTCATGGGAGAAAAGACGAAACTGTCTGCTTCTGTTCATATTTACAGCCTTGGAAACCCAGTGGAGGTCACTTTGAGTTGGAATGGACTTGATGTCAGTGAATTTGGTTTGAGAGATGTAAATCATTCGGGGCAAGGCTCATTGCTGGGAAGTGTTGAGACCTGTTTTTTCCTGGGTTTTAAGGAAAGCTTTCAGATAGCAACATTTGTCTATCAAGGGAAGAAATTGAGGGATTATTCCATGGGACAAGATCCATCCTAGGATTTGTAGGAACTGAAAAGACAACGAGATCATTTAAATATTGCCATGTCATGAATATTCAGACACCTGGAGATGGTACCTGACACATAACTTGCTTAAGACTTCAGAGGCAGGCAGAGGCAGACTGGACCTAGATGTCAGATCCCTGATGGCCAGGCCACATTTTTTTCCTGTGCACAGTCCCTGTGTGGCCTTTTGTTCCTTCCCAATGCTGGTCTGTAGTTACTTTTGTCTCTGTGGATTATAGAATCAACCAAGTAAACCCCTAACCAAAGAACAACAAAAGGAATGACTACCACATCTGAGTTTAAAATAAAATTTTGCCTCTTACCAGCTCTGGTGATGTAGTGCCTATGGCACTTGACTGCTAATCAGAAGGCTGGCAGTTCAAACCCACCAGCCACTCCTCAGAAGGAAGGTTGGGCAATCTACTTCTGTAGTGATACTGCCTCGGAAACCCAAGGTGGGGTCACTATGAGTTGGGGCTAACTTGGTGGCACATAACAACAGCAACAACAATCTTACCAGCTATATTGCCTTGATGCCTCCCTTAGCCTCCCTGACTTCACTTTCTCATCTGTGAGTTGTGAATATTTGTCTCTTATATGGTTTTGTTGGGTGATGCACAACATAGATACAGAACCTAGAAAGTAAATGCTCCCTAGAAGTTGGAAATTACTGTTGTATTCCCACCAGTGGTATGGGGAAACTAGTTCTTAATTGCTTCTGAAAGCAATATTAAGAGCTGATTGCTAAATTTTAAGAAGTGGTTGTTAAACAGAGCCGTTATTAAAAATTAAATTACAAAAACATATAATCAAGTAAGCTCTGGTGACATAATACCTAAAGCATTCTGCTGATAATGAAAACATTTGTGGTTCAAACCTACCAGCTACTCCATGGGCAAGTATGAGATGAGGCAGTTGGCTTCCATAAATATTTACAGCCTTGAGATCTTGGGTAGGAATAGAAGAACAATGTGGAACAAAATCCAAAATCATAATAAAAACCAGGGTTACTGGTCTAATAGAACCTGGTGAGACCATCAAGACTATGGCCCCTAATTACCATTCAGACCTGGAAATGAACACTGTGGCTTCCAGTCAAACAATAGACAAACATATAGGGGGAACATTTACATCAGGTAGATACACTCCTTAGAGCAATCAATCATGATAGAACAGAAGGGCAGTATTTGCACAGGAAAATAGCTCAGGGATCAGGAATGCACAGAAAAGAAGGATACGGGGAAGAGGTAAGTATATAGAGGAATTATGAAGAAAGCTGTTACATTGTGGAGAAGTGCAGTCAACGTCATGTAACAAAATATGTATGAACTGTACATGGAAAATACATATGCTCTGTAAACTTTCACCCAACTCACAATAGGAAAAAAAAAGAAAAAGAAAGAATTTCAGCCTTGGAAACTCTATGGGACAGTTCTACTCTTTCCTATGGGGTCACTATGAGTCAAAATTGACTTGATGGCAGTGGGTTGGGTTTGGTTTTTGGGTAATTAAATAAATGATATTAAAAAAAACAAAGTTAATAAATAATTAATATTTATCATTTCCTAATTAGTTTACTATATTTTATCTATCTATGTTCTGGAGATATTTGTACAGTAGAATATTATACAATGGTGCACTACCATGAATCTCCAAACCAAGACATTTTTTAAAAGCCATATGTTAAACATTTACTAGGACATAACTAGTGCCAGCAATAGGGAGGAGCTGAATGCCAGCCAGAGATTTTGACAAATTGGGTCAAAATATTTTTCTTCTTTTTATTTTTTTTCAAATCAGGTTCTACATGCGTGCAAGTTCATTCTACCCAGAAGTTGAAGTCCATTTCATCTCTGTTTTCTGGCTGCATCTGCCAAAGGGACTCGAAGCTGCTTATGAAGTTGCTGATAGAGATGAAGTCCTGTTTTTCAAAGGTAATGTTTCTGTGTATTTTTTTCCCATTTTTATGGATTAAATTCCATCAGCTTTTGGGCTGAGATATTAGAGAGTATTGGGCATTTTCTTTCCATTGACTTTTGAGAATCTAATAGTCTCACCTACCAAATCAAGAAGGAGTCCATTATCTTAACTATAAATGGAATATTATATTCCTGACTCATTTTAAATAAGAAGTAAATCACTGGAGATAAAAATTTTCTGGTACATCTGTTCAGGAATTTGCACTTTCATGAATGCTTTCTGTACAAAATACTTATGTATTTAAAACCAATAACCAGTTGATTCTGACTCATGGCAACCATATTGGTATCAGAGTAGAACTCTGCTGAGTAGGGTTTTCAAAGGCTGATTTTAAGGAAGAAGATCACCAGGCCTTTTTTCCAAACACATCCGAATGGACACAAACCTCCTACACTTCATTTGCACTGCCCAAGGACCCAAGGAGAGGTTGCTATGAGTCAGGTCAGACTAGACAGCACACAACAACAACAGGGACTTCAGGTATTTAAAATCCATGCCATGAGTATTGTGGAACTGAAAAAAAGAGATGAGGAACTATTCTGTGGAGTATGGAATTGAAAATTAGAGTATGGAATTGAAAATTTTCATTTATGTGATTTCCTTGCACCTGGCTTAATACAAAAGATCCTTGACTGCTAACCAGAAGGCTGGTGATTCAAACCCACCAGCCACTCCTTGGAAGGAAGGTTGGGCAATCTACTTTCAAACCCAAGGAGGGGTCGCTATGAGTCGGGTTCAACTTGAAGGCACATAACAACAATAGACAATTCTATTGTGCAATCACGACAAGGTTACCATGTGAAATAGAGGACTTGGCTGGACTCAGCTTAACCACTGCTCCATCAGGTCTCTTCCTGTCTGTTGGAGCCCTGAGCAAATCTATCTACATCATTGTTTCTTGATTGACAGGTAGTGATTACTGGGCTGTTCAGGCAGAGAAGATGCTACCAGGATACCCTAAGGACATCTATACATCCTTTGGCTTCCCTGATACAGTGAGGCATATTGATGCTGCTGTTTCTGAGGAAGATACTGGAAAAACATACTTCTTCGTTTCTAACAAGTACTGGAGGTAAAGACTGACCTCAGAAAAATTTAGGGTTTCAGTGATTTCTGCATAGAAAGAAAGGTCTATGCATATCAAAATGAGTTTCTTAGTGCCAGGATTAACTGTGGGTGGCCATCCCAGGATCCATTTAACTTATTGACCAATTATCTTCATGTGTTTCCTATCCTGGGAGTCTGGGAATTTGTTTGGCTGCATTTTTAAAAGTAGATGCAAAAATAATATATTCACTCGTACAGAGCTACTTCAGCCTAAAGGAACTTACTTTTCATTTCCTCTTAATGAGGCACAGTATGGAGGCTACTGTATACCTAGCATTACATTTTGGCATTCAGAAGGCCCTCATAGATCTTTGAGTCCACCCAAAATCCTACCTCACTTCATACCACCCTCTGTTTTATAAATGACCCATTAAACAAAAAGTTCTTTTCAGTTCCTCTTGGTGAGTTCCGCACAATGTCTTTGAGAAGTCTACAGGTTTATCAAATGTTTCTGATGCTGCTAATTGTTTCTTGACCAGGTATGATGAAAATAAACGATCCATGGATGCAGGTTATCCAAAAAAGATAGGTCGTGACTTCCCTGGAATTGGCAACAAAGTTGATGCTGTTTTCATGAAAGATGGTAAGTGGATGTGTATGTATTTCCTCCACTTTTTTTTTTTTTTTTTGAGGGGGTGCTATAGTAATAGCATCAAGATTATTATTTACAATAACCAATACCAAAAATACTTGTGTTCATAAATGACTTAGGATTTTTAAGAATATAAGTTAAAGCTAGAAACTAGTTGTATATTATACTAAGTATCCTTTTTTTTAATTTCTAGGATTTTTCTATTTCTTTCATGGAACAAACCAATATAAATTTGATCCTAAATCTAAGCAAGTTCTGAATCATCTGAAAGCTAATAGCTGGTTCAACTGCAAAAATAATTGACCAATGGTTACTAAATATTGAATAGAAAATTATATTTTGTGAATTCTAGGAGGGTGTTTTCTTGAAGAGCTACATATTTTTCACTGCTTTATGTAACCTCATAAATTGCATATTCACAGAGTTATTACATATAACTTTATTGTCATACATTTCATATGTTAGAATATAGTGTTTTATGTAGTGATATAATTTAGATCAATTTACGCAAGTGAGGAGTAAGGAAGGTCAGGTTTTGTGGCTTATACATTCATATGGTCCAATTAGTTTCACAAAGAGTGAAGGTCTTTTCCATAGTATAAGACTCTGGCATTAATCCTGAACTACAGTCTCAGTGATGAACACCTCCTCTCAAGAGAAAAAGAGATGAGAGTCACCAGTCTCCACCAGAGGAAAAACACTTCAAGAACATATGGCCAGTCATTGTATCATTCTTAAATTTTAGGGACAACTCTTTTTTGCAGAAAATAAAGTGCTTCATGTTTGGAATAAAGCCATCCTTGCCTATTTTGTGCTTTATAATTTTTTTCTTACCTTTTATGTTGCTATTTCCTAATTATAAAGCCACACAAATTAATTTAAAAATTTCCTATCTGAGGTAGACAAATATGCTAAACATTTATGTGAGAAGTTAGGATATACAAATAGTTCTAACATTCTCCATCTCTTGGAATTTATGTCATATAAAAGTTACTGTGGTGGTGCAGTGGTTAAGGAATTTGGTTGCTAACCAAAAGGTCAGTGATTTGAATCCCCCAGCCACTCTGTAGAAGAAAGGACAGTCTGCTCCTATAAAGATTTACAGCTTCAGAAACCCAACTGGGGTTGAGTTGGATTTGACTCAATGGCTGTGAGTTTGCTTTGAGAAAACAAGTAAACCAGCTGCCACTGATGACAACATTTAGTGGCTAAGACACTTGCCTGCTAACCAGACGGCTGGCGGTTCAAACCCACCAGCCACTCCTCGGAAGGAAGGTTGGGCAATCCTACTTCTGTAGTGATACTGCCTCGGAAACCCAAGGAGGGGTCGCTATGAGTCGGGGCCGACTCAACGGCACATAACAACAACAACAACAACAATTGTTAACTGTGCTGAAAATCAATCTCAGAAGTTAATTGCAAAGCTGGACACTTGGTAGCTGGGGTAACATGTGAACAAATTTAAAAACCTTGAACACCCAAATGTTCCTGAAAATTCCACATGGGCAAAAGTAGTACCTCACTCTTGCCAGAGGAAAGCAACTTACCCTTGCATTGAGATTCTGCAAAGACCTCATCTGAGATGATATGTCACAAGATAATGCTTCTCTTGTTCCCAAATTTCCTCGACCATTGCTCATTATTTCCTAACCATTAACTAAGACCAGGTCTCAGCATAGCTTAAATGCTAGGTATGGCAGGGAATACATTAAAACCCAAGGCAATTCAAGGGACTGGCCATTAAGTATCATCAGGAACCAAGGAACCTTGGAGTGAGAGTGAATCTTCAAAGTGTTGTACTGGGATGAGAGAATATAAAGTTGAATAAGGAAGAATTTATTGATATGGTTTAAAAAAAAAAAAACGCTATCAAGTGATTCCAACTCACAGCCACCCCCCATTGGGTTTCTGAGGCAGTAAATCTTTAAAGAAGTAGATTGCCCTGTCTTCCTTCTGGAGTGGCTGGTGGGTTTGAACAGCCAACCTTCTAGTTAGTAGTCAAATGCCTTAGGCACTGCACTACCAGAGCTCCTTTTGCTATGGGATACTACTCATTTATATTTCAGGATTCAGTATTCTGGTAAGGAAGCTAGAGGGAGCTTGTCCATTACTGTACTGACATGTTTTCTTAAATTTTGTACAGTGATGTCCTAAAGTACGTGAACTAGAGATACCAGAACATCTGTGACATAATATTGAAAGCATAGATGGATGAGAACTTTAAAATGGATTTATTACATGATATTGGAGACCCCACTACCAGACTATTCCCTGGGAAAATCCAGAGGGTACTCCTTTAATTGAGGCAGTAAGGAATATACTACTGAGGTGCCACTCTAGTGTCCCTAGTTGTGGTGGTTGTTTTCTGTGGGCTGGGTTTAACAATATGAAATGTTGCTGTGGAATTGGGCTCCCTAGTATCAGTGGAAGGAGCTCTGGTGGTGCAGTGGTTAAGGCATTTGGCTATTAACCAAAAGGTCAGTGGTTCAATTCCCACCAACTGCTCCATGGAAGAAAGAGAGGCAGTCTCCCATAAGGATCTACAGCCTTGGAAAACCAATGGAAGTTGCTATGAATTGGAATTGACCTCATGGCAGAGAGTTTGGTTTGGTTTGGAGTATCAGTGGAGATGAAGGGATAGGGCAGATGACAGCCCTTAACCATCAGAAACAATGTGAATGAATCAAACTCCAATGGTCAAAGAGGCTGAAGTGACAACCACAGGTCCTTGAACTGTGTGGTCCATAGACTTGCTTCTAGGGGTAAGATAGATGAACAGTCAAAAAATATTGCTAAACATATTTAAAAAATTGAGAGCTGGAAGCTGCTGTAGTAGAAAATCCTTGTACCTCTCTTGATTTCCAAATCTATCACAGTCTCAAAGTCCATTGATTGAAGATAGATGATAGATAGATAGATAGATAGATGATAACTAAACAGATAAATAGTTACACACATAGACACATAGATAAATAGGGCAAATAATTATATGTACTGTATAGTAAATTATCCTTATAATAGAGCTTGTGGCTATTTGCCAGCTACACTGGGAAAAGACTATCCAGATTTTACAAGGACAATTGGATAATAGATCTAAGTTAACACTGATATCAAGGGTCCAAAATGGCATCATGGTCTTCCAGTTTATAAACAAGGTAATGAAGACAAGTGATAGAAAAAGTTCTGGCTCAAGGTCAATTTATAGTCAGTCCAATGGGTCTACAGATCCATCTTGTTTCTTTGGTCAAACTCCTCATTTAGGTCCCTGACTTATGGAGTAAAATCTTATGACAGACAGCGCCAACTAGAAGCCTCTGAAACTACTCCTTCAATTCTTTGGTCAAGATGGCAAATGGAAAGAATTAATGACATGCTGTTTGACAGAAAATATCATACTGAGAAAACATCAAGTCAGTCATAAATGGACATATATTATACGATCCCATTTTTGTGATATATCTAGACCAGGCAAGTATGCTGTAGTTGTTATGTGCCATCGAGTCGGACTTGACTCATAGCGACCCCTCCTTGGGTTTCTGAAGCTGTATCACTGTGGCAGTGATTGCCCCATCTTCCTTCCGAGGAGTGGCTTGTGGGTTTGAACCGCCAGCTTTCTGGTTAGCAGTCAAGTGCCTTAGGCACTATGCTACCAGAGCTTCCAGGCAAACATAGAGATCAAAATTTATTATCAGTTACTAGGATGAGGAAAGGCACTGAGCTTCTGTTAAGAGAGATGGAAAAATTCAGAAATGAGTAAGGGCACACATGATGAGCACAATTAACGTCATTGAATTGTACGTGTGAAGATTGCTGAAATGGCAAATGTTTTGTTACATATATTTTTACCAAAATAAAACAAATCTAATTCATTACAGCTTTATTTAAATGCAACAAAAATGAATGCAGCAGTTTCAGCCTGAAAGATAGGAAGCACTGGTTTTAGCTACAGCTCTTCTTGTCACTAGAATATTACTTTAGAAAGGTGATAGATGACTAATGCCCTTCACTTTATTTGTTTGAAAGATGTGGGGTTTGTACTAAATAAATGATTTCTAGGCTGTACTGCTCTTGCCCTTACAGTATCATGTACATCAGGGGCTAGATCAGAGGAGACTAGGGGAGAAGGAGACTGGAGGAAGGTGGGACTAGAGACAACTGACTCCACGCAATCAGCAAAAATTTTGCTTTAATTTGACTCACATGGAGAACATACACAAAAGATTTTGCTTCTGCAAATTGTACAACTTAAAAAAAAAAAAAGAAGTTACCAAACACTACACTTGATAGCCCATAGATTTTTAAGTACATAAGTCTTTATTAAGAAAAAGTCAAATGAAATTTCTTCTCCATCACAATAGTGGTTCTCTGAGTTCATGAAGTATCCCCTTTCCTGTCCCTGTGCTGCTGAAAGAGCCTGGTCATCCTTGGATGGAAATGTCAGGAGATCAGAGACGACAATCACAACACACTCAAGAAGTGTCTTCCCTAGTGATCGTGCAGTTTTTGCCTCACTTTGTCCAAGAAAACATGACCTGTATTTGACCTCTCCTAGAAAATACTTCCTCTCCTAACTTCCCTGTCTCAATGGCAAATAGTCCTGTGTGAAACACAAGATTTTGTTTTTCTTCAGAAAGTAATTTACTTGTCTTTTTCTGCTTACCCTCATGTATTCCACTTACATAAGGAAGCTGTGGTTAAACAATAAATTGACAGGGGAATAATGACTTCTTATGTGCAGATGCAATGTCAAGGTCACTTGTTAAGATATCTATAGACTTCTATTGAAGATATCTATAGATATCTATTGACCCTGTGGGAAAGGGGAGAGACACTTACCAAAGAAGAAGGAATGGAAGGCTCCAGAATTTTCCTTCTATATGAGGGAAAGATTCCTGCTATTGAAGAAAAAGTTTCATGTAGCAAAATGGGAGAAGAAGCCAATGGGCTGGAACATCTTCTCTTAAAGGATGAAACAGAATTCATCAGTGACACAGAAGATAACTTTATGTATTAAGTTTTTCATTTTTAATATGCATATACTTAAGTTGATATGAATTGAAAATAATATCCATATATTCATAAATATTATTGTTTAGAATGAGTCTACCTTTTTATAAAAGTAAGTTTTAGAGACAAAGATGCAAAGATATTAAAGGGGGTATAAAAATCAGAGAATAGGGTTAGTGGTGGTCAGGAAACAGCCATACTAACTGTGCCAGCTCTCCTTATCCAGGATTTCCAGGGAAGTTGGGGGCACTGCCTTCTGTGTACTTGCAGCAGTTTGTAGAAAAAAAATCTTGATA